GGCAGTAACGGCGAAGGGGGCGGGGGCGTGAGTAATGCGTACCAGCGAGGCGGAGAGGGTGACAATCTCCGACTGAAGCTGCTGCACAAGTGCCAGGATGGCAGGATCGGCGGCTTGGGGAGAGGGCTGCTGTTGCTGCTGCTGCTGCTGCTGGTGCTTCTGCTGGATGTCCTGCGGGGGAGCCTGGTACTGCTGCTGATGGGGATCGGAGGCCGGGGAGTCGGCGACAACCGGAGCATCCGGAGCAGCTGGAGGAGCCTGCGCATCGGCATCCATCTGGTCGACAGCCGGGTCCGTGGGCGGGCGCTTGGATGCGGCCAGCTCGGAGAACTTGGTGGCCAGACGGACCAAAGAGGCAGTGGTGTCGGCATCGATGCCATTCGCCGCGCGCTTGGTGTCAAGCTCGGTGTTGTCCGGGCGACCGTGCACGAACAGGTAGTGCGAGGTCAGGGAAAAGACAGAGTGGTTGGCTGTGCCGAGGAGGAGTCGACGGGGGGGAGGGGGGGGGGACAGCGAGGAAAGGGTTAGAGCAGGCGGGAGAGCACACGAAGTCGGAGGCCCAGCGCCATGGGGACGTACGGCCAGTGGCGGCAAAGCCAAAGGACGAGTAGTTGGCCGGCGAGAGGTGGACCCCGCGAACAGGCGCGCCACAGGGGAACCACTCGGGGGCGGTATCCTTGTCGATGGTGGACGGGTCGAGTGCGGCCCAGAACACCTGTTTGTTCCGGGGGGCAGCAGGCAACGGAGCAGGCAGAGGTGAGCCAAGGTGCGGGAGATGTTCGGGCTGTGGGGAAGGGTGGCGGGATGGAAATAAGGCAGCAAGGGACCTGCGCCTGCGCACCCAGAGCGTGGAGTTGGCATGGATGACCTTGAGACGAACACCACCAGACATGCTCGAGCGATACGAGCACTGGAGGGTCGCCTTGCGACGGGCAATGGTCGACGGGAAGGAGAGATTGGTCGAGCCATCGTTGCTGAAGACCGTGAGGCGCTAGGGGCGCGCCATTTGCCGCGGAGGTGGGACAAAGAGCGGGGTCAGAACCGAATGCGAGAGGAGGAGGTGGGAGGGGGACAAGGCCGCGCCGGAACCCGGATGCGCACCTGGGCAGGGACATCAAGGAAAAGGCCAAGGCCATTCCAGGAGGCGGCACTCTTGAGAACGGGGATGGTGGTGGCGCTGCTGGACTGGCGCGAGGCGACCGGGGCCTCGGGGGACCGCCAGATGGCGAAGGAGCCCCTGGGGAGGGGGCGGGAGAGGGGAGAACAAGGAAGATGTGATGTTAGGGGGGGGGGCAGGGGGCGGGGGCGGGAGGCGCGTTGACACGGAGAGACGAGGCATGCTGGAGCCGGGGTCCCTGGGCAAGGGCCCTTGGCAGGGGAGGAAGGAAGGACGCACTCGTTGCCAAGACGAAGCTGGATCTCGGATTCCCAGTCCGGGGTTTCGAGAGAGCCGTCAAGCTCGTTGTTGGAAAACCAACTGTCGGGGTAGAGCGTGCCGCCGGGGGCCGAGAAGGTCACGTATGTGTCATCGACAACCGTGGCATCTACCGAGCAACATGCCAATGACTGAGGGTGAGTCGGGGAAAGTGAAGGGTGAAGGCGACGCCTGGGGATGCCCCAGGCGAGGGCGGGGCCGAGGCATGCGTACCTCCTTGGAGCGAGTAGCCGGCCACCGGGGAGGCGCCATTCAACAAGGCCAGCGGGTACTTGAAGGACCGATACAAGTCAAAGCGGCTATCGAAGGTGGGCACCGGCGGGCGAGCAGCTGCCCGGAATGGAATCACAGCTGGAGGCGGTGCGAGAGGGGGGGGGGGAAATGGAAATACCGGCTATGAGGAGGAGGCAGAGTAGGCTCAAGCGAGCGAGCCCGGCGCCGGAGAAGGACGGCGTCATGGCAGCAGGGCGACAGAGCGGGTGGAAGAGGGGGGGGGAGGAGGGGGGGGAGGAGGGAAGAAGAAAGGCTGTCAGTTCAGGGCAAGCTCCGGGCAGCGGGCTTCGGGATAAAAGGCCCTCGGCCCGGTACTCAGGGGCTGGCCGAGGTGGATATGCTAGACGCCGTTGAGTCCCCCCCCCCCCCCCCCCCCCTGAGGCCGTCTGACTCTCCCTTTCTCCTTCTCTTTGTCTCCCTCTCAGAGAGTCAAGCTCATGTGTGCCATGTTCCTAGACCAAGACAGGGGGACACGACTCGGTCGCCGGCGGCTTTTCCCCCACTGCTTGTCCCGCCTCGGGCTCGAGATGCGGACGGGTTCCGGGGGGGGGGGGAGGCGGGGGGAACACAAGGGGTCCGAGGTCATGGTTTGGACTTGTATGGGTGCGGCTTCCAGACAAACAGGATGGACGGACTGACACCTCAAACAATGAAAATGAGGGCGTTTCATAAAGCAGGGACAGGGCTGTACTCACAAGCCTCGATAGCTCAGTTGGGAGAGCGTGTGACTGAAGATCACAAGGTCACCAGTTCAATCCTGGTTCGAGGCAAACATTCTTTTTCGTCGTGCTGGCGACCCGGCTTTTTGCAGGCCTGGCGGCGGGGGGGTTGTGCGCGATTCCGCACATGCCCTGCGAACTCGCGCACCCCCACCGGGACCCGGGAAACTGCACAGGGGCACACAGGCGCCAACATTTGGCAATGCTGCCCGACATTTGTAGGGCTAGCTGGCCCGCGAGCGCGAGTCTCATGCGCTCGCGGGGATCCTTTCCTATTTCACGTACCGGTGTCTGGCGGGGCCCCCCGGCCGTTCGGATCAATCTCCCCCCTCTCCGCGCCTCTCTCCCACACTTGGCTTCCCCTCCTCCTCCCCCTCCTCCCCTTTGAGCCCGGCCCCCTCTCCTCCCGTGGCTCTTCTCTGGCTGACCCCTTCCCGCCAGGGCAGCTTGCCTCCGTTGCCTCTCGCGCCTTCGAGATGGAGATCTCAGTCCTTCCGAATTTCCTGACCCTCTTCATGGTCCGGCGTGAGGGGCTTTCCCGCTGTGCCTATGTTCTCCAACGGGACTTGCTTTTTCCGCGCAGGTACAAAGCCAACACTCATGCAGCTGGGATCTTCCGGTCCCCGACCGGGCTTCAATGTGCCCATCCTGTGCTCGCCACTGACCGGGCCCCAAAGTAACAACACCTTCTTGACGGTGATCGAAACGCCGGATGCCTCGATCTCGGTCGTGGTCGACTCATCCACCTTTGAGAAGCACATTCGCCCGGTTTTCCCCTCACTTCGTACTCCGATCTCCGAGTCAACCGCCCGTGCGTGCCCCCGCCTGTTGGCTGTCGACCCACCGGCCTTGCCTCCTTCCTGACGAGGATTCCCCTACCCTTTTCTTGCTCCCCCCCCCCCCCCCCCCGGGGGGAGCGGTCTTCTCTGTCTTCCTATGCCTGACCCCTCCTCCCACGATATCCACGCACACACACACACACGCACACACGCACACACACACACACACACACACACACACACACACACACACACGCACACACACACACACACACACACACACACAAACACACACACACGCAGATGTGGCCGACTGCCCACCCAGCGAGTGGATTGATGTGTGCCCGATCATCTGGCGGCCGATCCATGTTGTTCTCGGCGAAAATGGGCTTTGTACGCTGCTGACATCCGCCCCGCCCTTTCTCCTCCTCCTCTCGTGTGCTTTGTTCCTTCCTCCGTGGCTGACTTGCTGGACAGCCGAAACCGGTGTGGTGCACTCCATGGCGGCTCCCTTGGCGGATGGGGGCATTTCCATCCTGCAGATCTCCACCTTCGAGAGTGACATGTGCCTGGTGCCGGAGGATCGGCTTTTCGATGCGGTGATGTGCCTGCGCGGGTCGAGCCACGTCCGGGAAATCTGGCTCCCGGACAGCGATCTCGGCCTCTTCGACCCGGGGTCACGGCATCAAATGCCCGGGATGCCGGGGTTCTGCTTGCACGGTCTGGCAGCCCCGAATACGGCCACCTCCACCGGCCTGAGCACCATGGCCTCGACCCCGGTGGCCGGCATGGACCCGGTGGCCTCGGACGCGGCCTTCCTGGCGGCCGTCAACGGCTCAGGCGCCGGGGCGCCGCTGCTGTCTCCACCAAACTCGGCCGGGCCTCGGGTGTCAATTGGCGCGAGCGCGATTCCCACCCCGGCCACCGCGGCCACCTCCATCTCGCCATCCACCTCCTCATCGCTGTCCCTCTCTTCTCCCTCGCCATCGGTTTCCTCCTCGACCTCTTCCTCTTCCTTGACCACGCCGGCCAATGGGCTGGTGGTGGCTGTAGGCCCCGGGTCCACTGGTGCTGCTCTTCCAGCGAGGGCTCTCGCCAGCGCCGGCGCGCCTGGCCCCAGTGACCTGGATGCCCAGGTGTCTAGCATCACTGGCGACCTGCCGGCCATGACCATCTCCCCCTCGGACGCACATGGTCCCCAAGTGCCGGATTCGGCCACGGCCGACCGGTCACAGCAACAGACCATGGTGGCGGTGTGCCGAAATTTGCCAGGTATTTGGTGGGCTTCATCGGGCACCTGCTTCCCGGGGGCGCGGGGCTCTTCCACATTCCTTCTTGCATTTCCCCTCCCCTGTGCCCCCCCCCCCCTTCGCCGTGTTTACACTCCAGCATTGACCTTGGCTCCGATGTTCCTGCCGGCTGGCAGAGCCCCAGCCGACAGACGCCCTCTCGACGGACCCGAAGTCCGCGGTGACCGGCGGGCGAGTTGCCCCCTTCAGCGGTCTGGCCAGCTCGTCGCTGCAGGCGGCCCTGTCAGCGGCGACCATTCTCCCGGCCAAGCCCCAGGCACGCGATCCAACCTCCCTCGGGGTGGGAGCCCTGCCCACGGCCGAACAATCGCTTCCCCCCTCCGGCAGCATGTCGGTGATGATCCCGACGAGTGTCGGACCGGCCGGGCAGGCGACTCCGGCCTCCGTGCCGGCATCCCCCCTCTCGGGCCATCCCACAGCGGCGGCGGCGGCGGCGGCGGCGGCGGCGGCGGCAACAACCCCGGCGGCAACGCCGGCCACAGCCGGGACCACATCCCAGCATGGGTCCCATGCTTTGGCCGGCAGCTCGGCCAATTCCTCTCCCCGGACATCCTTCTCGTCACATGGGCCGGCTGGGTCGGGCCGAAATTCGGGCAGCTTCCTGCCGGGCCTGTCTGGAGCCGGTGCCATGGTGCGGCCTCCCTCGCCATTGGTGGCCATGGCCTCCGGGATAGTGTCGGAACCGGGTCCCGCCGATGCGGATCCCCTCTCGCCCGTCCCGTATGAGGTGCCTCTGGGGCTGGCTGCTCCCACCTCCGCGGGGCCTCCCTCGGGAGGGGACGATCTGCTGCTGGCCCGCTCGCTCCCCGTGATCCCGCCGCCTCTGGCCCAGGCAGTTGGTAGCCCGCCTTTCCGGAAGGCGGCGGTCGAGGTGACCACCTCGGACTTGCTGCTGGCCTCGATCTTGCCGAACTTCAATGACCAAGTGGGCGGGCCGCTTCTGCGTCTGATGTTCTTCCCTGATCGCTTGACGTGCGGACCCGGCCTTTCGCGCGACCTTTGTGACTGTGTGTATGCGTGTGTTTTTGTGTTTGATTTCCGTCGCTGACTGTCGTCGTTGTGGGCCTCTTCTCCCTTGTCCGGCATTTCCTGCACCTGGCCATGGGGGTGTGCTGCAGTTTGCCACGCTTTTGCTCCATCGCACGGGTATCGGGCACTCTGTCCCTGGTGGCCGATTCGAACACCCTTTGGGGCTCCTCCATCCCTCCGGCTGCGCTTTCCGTGTACAATATTCCCTGGAAGGCATGCAAGTTTGCCGATGGACCGCTGGGGTTCGGTGCGTTGTCGAGTACCGACACCCAGACATGCGCAAGAGAGGAGGCCTGGGGAAGGGGAAGGGGGGGGGGAGGGGGG